ACGAAAATGAATACTGTTATCAATTGTAAAAGTTTTCCAGCCACACTTAGGTTGTTTTTTTTCCATTATTAACTTCCCATTAGGAAGTTATTGAAATCGGATCGATTGGTGAAATTTGAATTTTCATTAAATCTCCACGTTTCAAGATATTTGCAAGCATACTGACATATTTTTAGAATGATGTGTGTGTGTATGTATGTATGTATGTATGTATGTATGTACGTCAGCATTTTTTTCGTTTTCGATATCTTAAGAACTGATCAAGATATCAACTTCAACCAAAATTAATTCGAAAGGTATTATTTAAAGAAGATCTGAAAGAAATTTGAACGAATTCGATCGAGCCGTTGTTTTTTTTTTTAACAAAATAACTAATAAAAAAATGAAAAGATTAGCTATTTAAAATACTTTTAAGCCAAACAATAATAATTTCATTTGAAAATTAAGTCGATATTGACTAGACATTATTGTTTACAACCAAATATGACTCTTAGCAATTACGCATTGTTTATAACAATATGAATTTCTTATAAACAATTACTAAAGGGAAGCTTTTCGTGTTAGCACAAAGTGTGCTCAGACCTATTTTTTCTGTGTAATCATAGTGATGAGCACACTTGTATTGAAATATGATTAGTGGAACGTATGTTGTAACCTCCATACTTCAATGGTTTTACGTGAGTCTGACTTCCATGACATGGTCATGACCATGAGTATACGTACTCGTATCATCGATGATAATAACAGAATATAAACAACTCAATGTAATATCAGATAAAAATAAAAAAAAAACATTACATTTTTGATGTAGACATGCAAATGACATCAGATACAAATTGAGTGAATAAACAATTCTTATAAAAACTTGATTAATATTAACTATGCAATAATACTTTTGCTGTTCAGTGTAATCTACTTGTAGCTTCTGTTTATTTTACTTTGTTAATCATATGATCTATCAGATGCTATTGATTGGTGTTCAAGTTCTTGTTTACTTTTTATTCCAATGTTTTTTTAGAGTAAACTACATTTAATAGAGAGAGAAAGTTAAACGTTATTTTTTGTACCAAAACTTGGAAGAAAACTGGTTTTGACAATTTCAGAGTGAAATGACATCAGAGTAATTTCTCCTGTGACATCGTAAAGTTTATTTGAAATTTTAATTTTTTTATGTTATTTTGTGAAAGGATATATAAATATTTTATAGCTTGAGATGTTTTACTTCCATATTCATATTTCATGCTCTAGTTCTGAATTTTCAGTCCAAACTAACTTAAAATAATTTAAAGAGAAATAAACCCCTATTTTGTAGCTCTTATACGTATTTAGGAATACTATTATGCAAATTTAATCGTTTTATGGTGACCATGAAATACTCCTTCATCAGTAAGATCTAATGTATTGGAAATTAAATTCTTGAAATATAAGTATACTTGGTTGGAGATCCAAAATTCAAGTGAGAAATAATTATATCTGAAGAATATTGATTATATAAGATAATTTTATATGAATGAATGTAAATTAGAAAATAACTAAATTAAAAAGATGAACCAGAAAATTTTAGTGATAGTCTCTTCGACTAATCATTAATATCTAAACTGTCCTTTTAATTTTCTGTTTTCATAACTTTCTCATTAATCAAACTTTCTACTGACTGGTTTGATTGATTTTATATCATCATCTGAAATGTGATACCTCATTTTTGCAAGATTTTTGAGTCTGACTTCGTTAAGCATTTTGTACAAAATCGATATTATGAAAATTTTTCACCATACTTATCATAATATATATTTAAATAAAAGCTTATCAAAAATTTCAACTAATTCATTGTATGTGTATATACCCCGATAGCCATTCGTGATAATCATATATACATCACACGATTTAAGAAACGAATTTCAATCAAGTTTAACGCATATGTATTACATTTACTGAATAAAAATTCATATTGGTAAATTAATGATCAAATTTAGGGATTCATAATCGATAAATAATTTGGTGAATTATTGCAACAAAGTATTTACGCAAAGTTGCTCTTGTATTTACTAAATTTATTTCTTAATATATATGAGCGAAATATTGGATCATATTAACAACATTCAATGCGTCATCTATTTACAAAAATTATCAGTAATCTAATGACGACACTAAATAAATGAAAGTTGATTTAAAAGAAAAATTCAATTTTATCATATACAAAATTAAAGAGACGTGTCGTACGATTTACGTAAATCTATTTAGAAAGTTATGATCAAGTTTTATTAACAAATCTTTACATCAGATTTACATCATTACATCTGTAAATTTGTTGTAAATTTTTGGTAAATCCAAGGATTCAAATGATCTAATTTCGTACAAAAGCATGTATGACATTGTAACGTCTTTTCAATATGGCTGCTAATAAGTTTAAGTTGAATGACATTTTTTCTGTTTGTAAAGAAAAACTATAAATTAGTACATATAACCAGTGCTGGTAATTATTGGGTAAGTAATGTTATTAATAAATACATTGTATTGTGTATTTGACGATGTTTAGTTTAATATATGGATATAGCTATATGTATTTACCTTAATATTTTCAAATCTATAATAGCATTAACTATAATGTTTTACTTTCAGACATAATGGATCTGCTTCTTACTATGTTAATTATTCTTGTAACCATTGTCGTCTTTATGATTAAATATAGTTCAAAAAGGAAATCTAATAATTATTTAATTGAAGCTAGACGATCTCAACATTTACGTCAACTAAAAGAAAATTCTTTATTAAATGATCATTGTGCAGAACCAACTAGATCTCATAATCATAACATTGCCAATACAGCTAACATTCACAATAATGAAAATTTTGTAAATAATGATCATGATGAGGATTATTCGAAAAGGATATGACAGAAGTCCTTCGATCCTACAAGCAAAGTGCTCGGAATGTCCGAAGACCAGAAAGAAATGAAGGAGTTCGTTCCCGTAAAAAACAAAAAGCACAAGAATTATTCAGAAATGATGACAGTGAATGACTATTTTGTGGTTTATAACTATACTTATATATACATTTTTTTTATATTAATTATTAAGTGATATGAGTTTTTAACCTTAAGTTTGAAAATTCTTTTCTATTTGAATATTATTTTACGTTACATAATAATCAATGTTAGTTTTTAAAAAAATTATCATGATCAAGAAACTTGAATAATAATTATAATACATTATAGTACTTTGAAGTACTTTACATTGTATTTGACCAACTGGTTAAAGTGCGATTTATTAACATATTTAATATTAGTCAATAAATAGTAAAATGATTTCTAATTTAGTGGAATATTTTTTAATCGTTATTATAATGATTCTTACGAGCACCATGATTATATGTATTTGATAATAATTGATTAAAAATTTGTAATTCTAAATTTATTTAGTAAAAATTTTTAAATATGTACAAAATTTATTCAATGTACTTTCAAAACATTTTTACTATATAGATGTACAATTAATAAATTTTTATCAATTATTATTAATTTTCAATTTTATTCCTAAATCTCAATTTTCTATCATCATATTATTAATTACAGTTTATATAAATATGACAACAAATATTGCCGATTTTAATGTTGTAAATTTCAACTTCATATGTTCCTCATGCGTTTCCTACATTTCAATCTTTTCAATAATACGTCTTATTTACGTATATGATGAAAGTAAATGAATTTACAAAGAATTGTCTTTTATCCTAATATTCATTTAACTTCATATAATGATGTGAATATGATTCAAATATTTTCGTTCACAAGCCAAACAACCTTTACGCATATGATGATGATACGAATCATCAACTTGAAGTAAATGTGATGTAAATGTGGCTATCGGGGTATTGTCATTCCAAATATAACAGAACAGTTTTTTTTTAGTTATTATGTATTACACCCAACACGATATTTAATTCATTATTGCACCAAAGTCACATTCGAGCAGTGGCAAGATATTAGAATATTTGCACTTGAATGTTTGCACTAAATAGTTTTTACTAAATAGTTAAATTTAACTATGTAACTTCAGTTTTCTTTTTTTAACTATAACTTTTAATATTTATGTATGTAGATTGAAATTTTTGTAGTACTTAAATCAATCATGCTAGCCACTCAATTAAAACAATTTGTACCATAAATAAAATAAATGAAGAATTTTTTGAGTATTAACTATACATATTGGTGTTAATTAATACATTTTTATTATTACTTATACTAGTTTTTTCCCAATCTAAGCTTCTTAGTACTACATTGATTATACATGACAATAATTATCTCTTTTTAGTAGTAATTTATAAATGCAAACTTGTAATAATAGACATTTTGATACAATGGATAAAGGAGTTTGAATATTTTTGTACTACAAACCTAAAATATCCATATCATGCTGCTCTCCTCTATTTTCTATTCTTTAAATATTTCGTCTTCTATTTTAATTTCGTATGCGATTTGTTTAGTTGAATTATAGTTAATTGAAAATAATGAGTAATTACTATTGTTGGCTAGTGTGATTTGAATAATAATGTGATATTTTCTGAAGATACTACTTTGTGTAATTACGATAATAGCGTAGTTATTAATAACAAAGTAATTTTAGAGTATTTATAAGAAGTTTAATAATATCTCAAAGCACCTATTTCACTTATATTACTTGAATAATTCTCATTCCAAAAGATAAATACCACAAAGACCACTTGTCTGCGTAAGAGATTTTCGTATCACGTCGAGACTGTGGTTGAGTCCAGATTGTATAAACGTATTAATAATGAGAACAAGAAGGGCTCCTTCAAACACCACCTAAACAAATATGTAGCTTGCTTCTCATAGTTATATTTATATTCATTAAAATATTAATTTATTTGGCCAAAATAGCCTACGCTCATTCCGTGTTAACTAAAACTCTAATTTATGCTTTGTCTATTTCTATTCACACTACTTATCAGTTTTTTTGTATTTTATTTATTCAATTTTACAGATTGGCTGCCAAAGATGTGTTCCTGCCTCGAGAATGTCTCATTATCGAATAATTATACATCAAGCTGTTCAAGGCGGTACGATAGAATAACGAGCAATATTTCTTCATACAAATTCCGTGAATTGATGCAACGAGCTAGACGTAATGACATTTTTGATGATACTTATATAGACAATGAGCGGAATGTAAGTGCAACAATTTACTATGTATTTTCCACATCGATAAATTTATTGATGTGCAAATTATTTGTTGAAAAGTAATGAGTGCATGATAAAAAAATTTTATATTTATATTATTCTGTTTAGGCAAATATTAAATTTTATAATATGGACGAGACATACGTCTCAGTTACGGTGGAAAAAAATTTACGAGTCATAGATCTCTGTGAACTGTTGAAAGTTAAAAATCAAGTCACTGGGCCAAATTGGTCGGTGGTTGAATCTTGGACAGAACTTGGAATTGGTAAGTTTTATTTTGTTAATTTTATCTACTAGTGGTCAATAGCGCGCTGTTATTTGTAATATTAATATAAATATAATATAATCCTATGAAAAATAAAAATAACAGGATAAAGTTCCGATTAGGTGTCACCTCCGATTCGGGCCAAAACGGAACTCTACCCAAATACTATATTATAATGAACATTCTTTTCAAATCAACCAAATTCAAATAAAAGCTATTTACTGTCAATAAATTCAACGACCAATCAAATGACAAATAAAAGGCCAACAGATATGACTACATCCGTCAATCAGTTTCTTAGAAAATGATATAACTGGATCGCTGTCAAATGTTGCGCAGGTAAACTTATTTATCTCTAAAAATAAAACAGTGAAAATAATGAAATACACTGAAAAATCAGTCAAGATTCATTAATTTTGCAATGTATTTTATTATTTTCACCGTTTCATTTTTAGAGAGTTCAGCAGCGGAATTGTTCAAACATTTAATTTAATATTTGTTAAATTCAACAAAAAAAATAAAACCAAATATGGCTACAAGATATGAAACTAATTAATATCAATACTAAAGTATTTGCGTCTGAGTTCACTGCAAATCTTAGTATTTTAAAATAACGTCATTTATTTGATTAACATTGTAGTCACTTTGAAAGCTGTCAAAAAACTGTCCTAAAAACTCCATTGTATTGAGCATAAATTTGTAAAAAATTGTAGATTTCAAGAAAATGGTCATGATTAGGTTAAAACCTTTTAATAGAGAAAAAGTGAAATTGAATTAAACATATAATTATACATAATTTATTAACAATAGTAGGAAATTATTAATCGATTCATTAAAATAATCATTTTGACGATTCAGAAAAAATAAAAACCAATTTTCAATTTTACCAGAGTTTTTATCAATAGTTGTGTAAGTATATAAATATATAAACATATATGGGTTTATACGTATATATATATATGTATCGAACATGAAAGTAAAAAATGAAGTACACGAAAAAGTTCTTTAGAGTAAGTTGATATGTTGCAAGCTAATGCGAGAATATATGGCTTTATAGTTACATTTCTAAAAAGAAGAACATGTTTTCGAAAAGAAGTTACTCAAGTTTTATGGTAATATAGCTTTTACTCTGGTTAAAAAAATTATTTACATATATCATAACGCAGCTACTTTTTCATACTGACAGATAACTTCAACTTGAAGATTTTAACAAGATTTTTTAACTAAGAAATGTGATGTTATTACTGAAAATCTATCAGTAGCTAAAAAAGTTAATCTAAAGTTTATTTAATTATCAATAAAACTTCAAAATAAACAGAAGATCAAAATATCGATGCTTCATTCAAAAGTCTAGTAATCTAGACTCTTCATGTGTAAAGCATCGATGCTGATGTCTTACCAAATTTAAATGAAAGGATGAGCATTACCAATTGGCTCAAAAATCACCAATTATGAAGTAAAGCCATATTTTGTATAGAGTAAACGTCCTCAAAAGTGTCATTGGCTAACTTTGATACAGGATTACTCAAAAAAATCTGTCCTTACATAGAATAGGAATGAATGATTGTGTTACCAATCAATGTCACTAAAATGCAGTTCAAAGCATCGATGTGGTATACTACCTGCCCGAGTCGAAAAATTTCGATGGGTCTTACATTGATTACATTGTTATAACATTACTTTTATATTGGATACATTGCTAAAAAATTTTATTTTACATTGCTAAAATCATTCTTACATTGAAAATGGTATAAGCAATGTTAAATTAATATATGGCATTATGCAAAGGATACAATGTTGAAGCAATGTAATCTTAAACATTGAATATGAAATTTAATTTAAATTATTTTTACATTGGTTGTATTTCTAAAAAGCAATGTAACCAATGTACAACCCATCGAAATTTTTCGACTCGGGTGATCAACCTCTTGAAAGCACTTATTCGTTTACATTCAATCATGTCTAGTTATTTTATTGTTGTAAAATTAGAAAAACAAAGAGGGCTCTTTGTAGCGCAACTAACGGAGAGTTAAGTAAGGTCAGTTTTCAATCTATATGGTAAACTTCTTTACAGATAAAAGACAAAAAGTAATAGTAAGCAATCTTTTAACAGAGTCTTTATTAGAATCTATCGAACCCATTTAAACTATCAGAGTAAATGTCGTCATCCGTAAGAAGTGATAGAAAATGTCACTCATACTACATGATATTGAAAATTTCAAATTTTCATAGAGTACTGGCTATGTCTCAAGGCGCTAGTGAATACAGTAATTTTCTTGAGAATTTTCACCTAAAGAATTTCAAGAATTTCCTCTCTTTGCTCGTTCATTGATGATTAATGTGAAAGAATGTTTGAGTGACATATTTGAGACCATTTTTTGAACATTAAATCAATGGATAAGTAGATGATGAAAAACTGTTATGCATAATTATGAATGAATACATATCAATTTCTATTTGAAAAGATACATTCAAATTTCAATATGAACTATATTATTATAATTTATTCATCCAGAAGAGAGAGCATCATCGTTTTGTATGACTTTAAAATAATGCACATGCTTGATATTCATGATGCTCTAGTTATCTCCGTCTTTGAAATAAAAGACACAAATTAAAAATGCGAAAGGTAATTTTTGTTAAACAAGCATCAGAATTATGGCAATATGAATGAGAATAACGCAGGAAATCCGGTGCATTATTATTATGCATTCCCTTCAAGACTTCTTTTTAATTGGTTTCTGGTCAATAAAGAAAGCACTCAGGCTTTTACTGTTTTGAATTTACTATGACAATTGTATTGAAAAGTTCTTACCTTTAATGGAGTAGATTCCACTTATCTTTTATATTTAAACGTGATAAATAGCTCGATAGAATTTTATTTCTTAATAGACGTTAATGGAGTCATTATGATGTAGTTACATAGATTTGAGTAGATTCCAACTTCTAATATAACAATAATTAGTGAAGAATAATACAAATTAATGTATAGTGATTAGTGAAGCAAAAAATGTAGAGTATTACAAGAAATAAAAAAGGTGAATTGAGTTAATGAGTTCTAAAAAATACAGAAAATGTAATTAATGTTTCGTGACAAAAACGGAAACTGGATATAGTGTGTATTGCAACTAAATAACACATAACGTGTTTAGACATTCTTCAAGTTTTGACTTGATTTACATAATTAGTGGAACATTTTAATTGACGGGGATAAAAAATGCTAGAATACTTTGAATAATTTAGGTTTTTCATTAAGAATAATATTTTGAAAAAATAATTCAATTGTCATAAATTTATTGAGATATTTTTTAAACTTTATTAGTAATTCTCTTATTTATTTACAGAAAGAACTTTGGAGGACCATGACGATATTCTTCAAGTATATAAGGAGAAAGAATTGTTTGCACCTCATACTGAAAGAAAGTTTTACTTCTTACCAGACAGTACCAAACATGACTTTTTTTTTAACCCAGAGGTATGTTTTGGATATTTTTCAGCACAATTAATTAATATATTCTCTAAATATGAAACAAATTTTTATATTCAATTTTAAATAGACATAGATATAATACATGAAACATGTATCAACATCCTCGCATTTATGACGATTTTTTATTTATTTTTTTACCTTCTAACATTAAATATGCAATTACACAAACAGTGTAAACATAATTTGATTTAAAAAGATGATATACTTTTTGAAAATTGAAAATACTACAATCTTGATCGAAAATCAAAAATCGGAAATAATATTAATTTTAAAAAATTTGGTTTATTTCATTACTCTTAAACTCCAGTAATTTGAATGTGCAAAAATTTTTTTACAGTGCAAGAGATCTGTTTTATCGATGGGTATTTTCATGCGAATTGTGCTGATATGTACTACGGGTTGATAAACTAGAATTCGTTATACCTACATGGCATAAAAAGCAAACTTACGGTTGTTAAAATAGATCATTTCTATACCAATTATGTACATGTGATAAAACAGAATTTTAGATTTTCCTATGATGTAATGTTTGTGATTGCAAATAATGTAGATTAATTTTCAAATAATTATCTGAAACAAGAGATTCATATCAAACAAACTTTTTACCCATTGTAGCATCTATTAGAACAATTTACAGCAATGTTAAGTAATTGATTAGATCTGAGTAATTAAAAACTACAATTATTGCAAATCAAATTGAATGGTATTTATCTTTTATCATGAAAGGAGATTTATAAATTCCTTTTAACTTCTATCGTTAGTTTAATTTATTAACTCTGTATAATTATAAGTAGTTTTCATATTACTCCAAATGTTTAATTTAACAATAATCCGGTCTTTAAGAATTTAAAAGACATTTAAATTAAAATAGTTATTGTATGTACAAAAAAATTACATTTTTTTGTGATATTTTATAAGAATGAATATTTCATATTTAATTATACATCCTTTTTTAAAAAATAAATCTTTTAGTATAAAATTGATATAAAATAATTAAACATAGATTGTAAAAAAAAGCATTACGTTTTCTTTTCATAATAATGAATTAGTAAATATTCATTGTTTGCAGTAATAACATATAAGATTTTACAATGATTTTTACTGATTCATTTTTAGAGAATTCTATAACCGTCTCGGTACCTTAAAGTACCAGAGCCAAAGCTTTTTATTCTTAAAAGTCAATAATAGTTTTCACAACTGTAATTATCTTTTATTGATTCTCATTAAGCCTATCGACTTTGAAAATTTTAAAGTAAAAAGCATAACAGAACATATCGAATAAAATTTCCTTCGAATAACATTTTTTAGAGTACTCAATTAGAAAAAAATGATAACTATTCCGTTAACAGGAAAAATTATAAATATTTTTTTCTTAAATTCAAAATTAAAAAAAAAAATAATTAACAAATATCTATTAATGCGATGACAATATTTTAGTAAGACATTTAGAGAAAAAATGTTAATGATTAATGTGTTACTTAAAATTTCATTTATGAAATAATGTTCGCTTATATCAATATTTCATTAAACATAATACTTATTCTATAACTCATAGGATGAATCGTACATTACGAAAATGGATTAATTTATACAAGTGCAGCTCGAACCCAGTTAATAGTCAAAAGCTGAGTATCCATCAATATTATGTTATTGATGAGAGCAAATAAAATTTTAAAAAATATGAGAGCAATTTGAACTCGAAGAATCAGGGGTCTAGTTTACTTGTCAGCCAGTTGGAATCAATAGTTAATCAATTAAATATGACAAAGGTAAATGATAAATACTTTGGTGAATCCTAGGCTATCATTTTTGTAATCACTTTGTAGGGAAAAGTTTTTTGATCAACAAGTACGTTCAAGTAACATTGGATAATTATTTTAACAATGATAAATTCATATTGAAGAATTTCGTTAATTTTAATTTTTTTTTTCACGAATTAATGAAAAACGTGGCCAAAATTGATAAAGAATTGGACTCAATTAATTTTAGACAACATGACTAGTTCCATATTCATAAATCATTTTCTGGTTTTTGTAAACATCATATTTTAACCGATGACATTCGATAAATATTACAATAAAAATTAACAAAGTTCTAAATAAAAACTCAAAAATTAATAAACTTAATCAAAACTTAATGCCCTCTAAAATCACTGCGAAACAGTATATATTCACTGATTTATTTTCAGGAAATATATTTACTTCTTTAATCTCATTTCTTACAGTTTTCTTTTTTATATTATAATAACTTGCGAGTTGTGTAGTTTATTTTACTAACGAATTTTTTTCTGTGCACACCGGAAACAATGTAAAATAAAATTGCGTCAAAAAAAATTAAATTGTCCATAAAACAAACATTTTTTCTTTACAAACGGTAAAAAAAATGATTCTGAGATAGCTTTGTAGTAGTATTTTATGCAAGAAAGTGCGAGATTGTTGGGTGTGAGTTTTAATTTCCGTAATTGCCGCGGTGTATTTCTGTCGACGTCATTTTTTCCGCCTATCATTTCCACTCGGTGAGTCGTAAGGGTTGCAAGAGCTCAGCAAGTTGTCAGAGTGTGTTACATTTTTTTCCTTTAAAATACAGCTTATCTACTTTCCGTTATTTCTTTATCTTCTACTTGTCTTATGCGCCACATTCAGCAAAGCTTTTTGTGCGTTGTTGAGGAATATTGCTTCCAGTGAAAAAGCGAATTTCCGGGGTGAAAAACTCGCATGAATAATCATCAGGAAGGTTGCCAAAGAGTGTGCCAGAGAATATCCTTGAGAATCGCAGAAATTATACAGTGCTAACACCGAATAAATTACTTTGCATTCCCTTTCTTCTTTTGGTATACATTAATGTGAAACTGCCACTCGTAGAATATCGTTTTTAATTAATCCTATCTAAAATTATAGTAATTTGATAAGTAGATAATAACTGAATAACAACGATAATCGATGGAAGGTAATCATTAATGCAATCGTACTTGTGGCTCCAAGTAAACGAATACTCGTTAGCCATTACCGTATTGCTTATTAAAATTCGATTGAGGATACGTGGGTACTTTCACCAATATTTAATGCTCCACACTATCATGCATAAGTATAACCTTGATTAAAATAATAGATATTGGAAAAATAAACAAATACTTTAATAATATGAAATACATAGATGGAAAGAAAAATATTAGCATGTTAGTATGTTGCATACAGTTTATAATTTTAAATCGATCTTTATCAGTTGTTATATTGAGGTATTTGAAGTAATCATGTACTTTAGTCATAATGGCTAGTCGTTATTGGAATAAAAATTGTAGAAAGATTATGAAAATTATGCCATCAAGATATCTGAATATGTGTTTATTCAACGGTATTTTCTTTCAGACTTACTTTCCATCGGAAATGATCGTGGCTTCGAGTCCTGAAGATCGGAATAGTTTTCTCTGTAACTGTGAAGATGCCATTCGGGTAAGAATTATGTTTTTTCATTTTTTTTCTAATCAGTTCTTTTTTACAGTATTGACTGCATGCAATTTTGATTTTTACAAATTTATCTACAAAATTATGTACACATCCTTTCATAATGATAAATGTATACAATCATTAATATAAAATAATTGACACAAATTTAAATTTCAAACTTCATCCGAAATCAAAATGAAACTTACTGTTAATTAAAATAATTCAAGTTTAGATTAAATTTAATATTTAGTTCAATAATTTGTAGTTTAATATCAATTAGAAGAGTACAGGCGCGCTGCGTGCGCTCAGCATTGTATTATATACGTAGATAAGAAAAAAAAAATTATATTTTATTTTTAAATTAAAAATCTCTCCTATCATCACTTCTAACAAACAATCAACACCCGAACAAAGTGATGATGGATATGACGATAACCGGCAATGCTTTTTCAAGAGAGGATTACTTTATTTAATTTCAGGCATATCTAACTCGAAATGACATTGAACTTCCCAAAATTAGCAGTGAAGCTTTAATATTCGACCCCGATTTAAATAGATGGATAACCGTCACAATTCTTCTCGAAAATCGGAAGCTCTACATTTCAAAGGTAAGTTTTTACAAAAATTCCCAGTATCAATATTTATATTATATTTCAGTTAAAATTATTTTTTTTTATCTATGATTATATGAATTTATGAGGAAAGAATTGATGCAGTGAAAGTTATCTTTTCGCAATAAGTATTTTCACTATATGTCATTCTCACTTGATTAAAATTGTTAGAATATGAACGTAATACTGTATATTGCAGCACCAAAAACACTACGAAAAATAATTTAAATATATTTTGGTCAAGTAATTTAAATTATATCTCTGTTAAAAAATAATTGTACCAATTATTAATACGATAGACGTTATTGTCAATAGAATTCAATATTAATTTATAGAAGTCTATTAATCATTAACGGTGACATTTCGACCACACTCTATTGTCATTATTATTGATTACTGTTATAATTGTCATTATTGTTAGTAGTTAAAATATAATTCCCGTGCTTGGAAGTATTATTCCGTTATTGCGCATCGCGGAAGCGAAGAATGACAACTAACAAATTGTGATTCTACCATGCGTAGGCGAAAGAATAATGAGAGTTTGCGAGTTTGTTGACTCGTATTGCTTCATCTTTTTCGCAATATTCATGTGTTGAGATTAATGATATATACAAATTTTAAATTGCTAAACTAGATAATAGTTCATGTCATTATAAATCCGATGAAATCGTGAATTGAATACATTTGAAAGAAATTTCTACACATCATACAGTCATTTTTATTATATACAGTCAAAAATATTAAATCAAGAATATTTTTTTTTTTGATTTGACTTCAATCATAAATTTTTCATTAAAAAAGTAATAATATATTACCTTTTATGTCTAATTTCTTTGATAAAGTTATGAAATGAAGATGTATGTGTATGACTATCCATCTAAGAACACGTAGCTTTCGTTGAATGCCACTAGGCGGCGCATTTTTCTCGATAGAGCATACTGAAAAATAATTAATATCAATGCTTGAAACGATAAATATTTTATAGAAGCAATCATGGAGAATGACATGGTCCAATCTTATATACTTTTGCATACTATCACGTTATTTATTATAGTAGTTTGTATTATTATGATAGTATTATCGTTATTATACGTGGTATTCTACTCTTTTATTCCATAAATACTAGAATACATTGAGCGCACAAAGTTTTCGCCAATGATTAGATGATGATTTGAATTTTTTAACTAATATGATATTTTAATTTCACAATACCAATAATTTGACGAATTCGATTTTTCGAAAAAAAATATCATAAACGTATCATTCCCAATACTGTGAAATCGTTAAATGATCATTTTGGATGAAACTTTTCTTATCACTATTTATAGCTAACCAAAAAATCAATAAACTAATATTTAGTAAAAAACAAAATATATTCATCCATTAATAATAATAATAATAATAATGACATAAAAATTAACTTACGGAAAATCTTTTGAATAAAGTATTTGCAATAACTTCAGTGATGTAATGTTTACATTAAAAATTCTGCCTTCATTAAATATTTACTCAATTTTATATATAACCACTTAGTTGAAATCAATTTATACACTGAATTCAAGTAGTTCTTTATTCAATAGACGTTTTCTTGAAATCAAATTTAGAGATACGAACAGAATTCGACTTATACGGCTATCGCTTGTCCCACCTATCGCGTAAGTCCGGGTATACTGTACTAGCCTTCAAACCTTTTTTAAGCGTAACACAAAGATAATTAGGGAAAGAGGAAGTAAAGTGAAACACCACGAAAAAATTTGAATCAACAAATTAACCATTATATTGTTAAATGTTAATAACTTTTAATGCATTAATAAATTGGAAAATTGGTTAACAGAAATTGCAATAAGAGTTTTTAAATTTATTTTGAGAAATTAGTACATTTTCTCGAGCGTTCCACCTTACTCACCCTTCCCCTACTTTTATCTTGTTATGAGGAATTATGAGTTTTTTCTTAAATACTCTGATAAACTGATATTTATTGTCAATAAACAGTTAAACTTTAACTTTTAAGTGTTAATAAAGTGAGAAAAAACTTATTTTTTAACAAGACAAAAATATGTTATTTTAAATGAATGAATTTCACAAAATTACATCAATGAATATTAATGTACTTAATTTTTAACTAATTTCCAATCGAATCATTGCTCACAGTAAAATAGCATTGAACGTATCAAATGTGATCCGAAAATATGGTTTAACTGCTATATGCCAATTATAATTCATAATGGACTTAAGTATTATTTAAAGAGGCAATTTTTTATCTTTCATAAAAATCAATCGGATAAAATTCTTTCTACAAATTTCCGTAAAAGTCCAATTGTAAAGTAAGGAATTTTATAACAAATAAAATGTCTTAGACAGCTGTATATTTTTCACACCCTTTTTGATTTTACGAGGGTATTAAAATGCTCAAGATAAAAATGATTTTTATTATCCCTCTGAGGGTTCTGAGGTTTGCCAAGTATGTATATAAATATTCTCATTTATATACAATTCTAATTTATTAGGTGATGTTTAGTGTAGCATGTATTCACACCCTTAATCACTTACAATGAACAATAAACCTACCACACGAAATTCAGTGGTAGTCCTCGTACAATCGTGAATTTGCGAATTTACAGTAGGTGATTCACGGCTTTAACCTCTATATTCATCGATTATCCCTACTCCATCATATTTTGAAGTTTTGTAATTGTTGTAATTAGAGAAGCCTAGAGGTAGAGTACAGCTTTGTTAGCTTTGTCACTACTGCACAGAATTCGATGGTTCCGTTGCCAATGGCGTTCTCTCCTGCCCACTATTCTCCTTCCTCGCACACGCGGTATGCCAATCGATAACTGAGCTTCCGGCGATGCCCTGGGGTATTATTGAATCGTCGAAAATACAGGCACACCTACAGTTTCCCTTTGCTTGCCTTGCTCTCTTATTTTTTATTTTTAATTAAAAATGAAAATTTTGTAAATAATCCAATATACACTGGTCAAAGGAATAGCAATTTTGACATCAAACGAGGTCCAATTAATCAATTGGTTTATGTACAAAAATACACTTTGTCATGCTATTATTAATAAAATGATCACTCGCATTCTCTTTATTCGATTTTTACATCTCAATCAGCAATTGTCAAACATCCATTAAGTTCTTTTTTCTTTTGGTAATAAACCATTTTTATTTAATTTTTTTTCTTTAAAATCTGTGATTCTATCTGTCTTCTTATTGAAATACTCAATCGAATTATTCAAATTATATTTGAAAAAATGCGTTTGGGCATGCTTTGGAGTTTCTACATGACGAACTTTCCATCGAAGCATTCCCACTGACAGTATGAGTGTAACTTCATGGATTTGAACAACAGAATTCATTTTTTTAATAGCAAAATAAAGTTGTTATAAATAATGTTCAGTTGTTAAAAAGGCTGTACAGTTATTTTCAACAATACTTTATGAATATTAACTTAGCTTGTTAACATTCATAGAAAAAAAAAATAGAGTTGATCCTCAAGACAAATTCAATTGTTTTTTATTCTAAATTATCAATCAATGTAAGATGACTTCACTAAAATGAAAAACAATTACCGATAACACATAGTTTTGGAACACAGCAACATGACACGTAAGGGGGGAGGAGGGTAATCTCAGAACTATAGCACATATAAAGGCTCTGATAATTAATATCTCGTAGACGTGCGAAAGCATGTCATTACTGTTCGTAAACGTTGTCGGCAAAAGGATTATTAGGCTGTCATCCGACCAACTTCAAAATAAATTGCTTGTAAATGAGAAAGCTGACGAACAAACTAGACGCTGTAACACCAGCTTTTATATGAACTTTCATAGAAATTGTAAAATATTTTTCTATAAACTTTATAAAAAATTGGTAGTCCACTAAAATTAATCTGTCAGTTAAAAACTTTAATAAAAAAAAATGAAATTTTATGTTGAAATGTTAAATTTTTTGCGTTGTATAGAAAGTATGTTATTTTTAAAACATCAAGTATCACCTTTATAATTTATCAGCTTCAAAGCTATACTTTTATTGTTGATCATTAAATTGTAATAAACTGGCGTTCATATTAAACCTTTACCCTACATTTAGAAGTTGTTTATTTCAATATTTTTACTAACTTTTACTAATTTAAGTGGGATATTAAATAGCAAAAAATTTGAATTATAAAATTATACTGAAAGAATATTCTTATTAAGGAAACATCCGTTTTCCCTCACTGAATTACTAAAAATCAAAAAATCTGTCTTGCCTCATGAATCCGTTTTACCCCGAGTTCCCCTACATGCCATCTTGTAAAGAAGTTTTTCTCATTTTTTTAATTGTTTGAGGCTCGTTAGCATATCTTTTGCTTTCCTTAAGAAAACTGAAAAGTAAAGTAAAAATCAACTTTTCCATTTAAAAGGGAAGCCACTTGTAACAAAAATTTACAGCGCTCGTATAAAAACAATTTTGAAAAGAAATAAACAAGCTTAGAAGTACGTTAGTTGGATTTTTTTTTGAAAACTTCGTTTTTCACTAGAAGGATGCTTTTAAACTTCACGAAAAATTGAAGTAAAAAACGAAAAAGAAGTTTAACTAAAGATTTGAAGAGGCAAGATCATTTCTGTAAGTGAATGTACTTTGCTTCATGCAATATGATATAAGATTATTTAATCACATCAAGTTATTTATAACGATATTTTATTGATAATTGTTCTAATATAATCGTAGTAATGATAGCTGAATAAATTAAAACGACTTTTAATTGTTTATAGCAAATTGAAATTGTCATAAATAATACGTTATTGTCTAGAGTAATACGAAGTTATTAACTACTATATTGTATTGAACTCAGTTATCAATAATGTTAATCATCTAATTTTTTTTAAATGAAATTTGTTTGGAGTCGCTATCTTCAATGGTTCTCGAGATATCGAAAACGAAAAAAAATTGGACGTACCCATTCACGCACGCACATGTGTATATTCATAAATTCATGTTTAAACGTTCTA